CTGTACTGCCCAGAAAGTTCCACATGGAGGGACCTTTTTGGCTTTGACCACGTCACTGCTATCAACCAGCCAGGATCCGTTTCACTGATGAGAGATCAGAGAAGGTGTGGGATATGGGTCCTAGCCGATGTCAGCGAAATGCCACCATGTCTGGTGCCAAATCGCCTGCTCAGGTGCCATCTGCCTGGGAGGGACCTGTAAGCCTGTGGTGATCATAGAAATCTCCCCCGCAAATGAAGCTCCTGATTCCTCCGTGTTATATTGGACTAAGTGCTAACTTTGCAGATGCCACACCCCCCATCTGAATACACCCTGCTTTTCTCATAGAAGTTGAGTGTGAACTGATGCCATGAGCGACTTCTCAGCACATAGTAGGCTTATCACAATCCACCCCTCGAACAACGTTGCCGCTTCCTGACACCTCGACAAATGCTGGCGGAAGAAAGAAATCAGGTGAAGAGGTTGTGTTTCGTTCATGTTTATTTGCAGCAGGTGGTGAGGAAATACAAAGACTCACTCTGCACGATCATGGCCTGTGGGTCAGACTCAGGGGTGTCGGAGCTGTCAGGATTTATCCACACTAATAGTTCCTGTTACTTGCTGGCATCATTTTTTGGTCACTGGTTCAGCCCCTTATCAGCCCACTATGCCCTCTACTGGCCTGGAGGAGGAATCCCCCAGGAACACTGAGTGGGGAATCAGCCTGTGTCACGCAGGTTTCTGCATGTGTGCCCTCCCCTCCCCCCACCCCACCCTACCCCACCCCTGAACTGGTTTCTGTTTTACAAATTAATAGCGTGACCCTGAGACCCAAGTAATCGTGGAGGAGGGGGTGCACCTCCTGAACCTGTGTTTTTTCTCCCTTCCACCATCTGTGGAAGGTCAATCTGATGGCCGTTTCTCCTGAGAGGAAAGCCAGTAGCACTGTGGATTTAATGGACAGACTTGCGTGTGTGTTACGGAAAGACTGCAAAACAGGATCTGATGTGCATTCGATGGCGCATCGCCACTACCCGTGCCATTAATTGCAGTTTAAAAGTGGGGGGTGGTGAAGGGGGGCGATGCTACTCACATGCCACTGACATTTCAATTACACTGTCATACACCGTCTCGGAGTGGCGGGTCCCTGTTTTGAAAATGTCATATGGGCCGCTAAATGACGATGCGTGTCTGTTTGGCCACATCGCCCCTGTGATCAGGGCTTAACACTGCATTGCTTTCATAACTAAATAAAAACACAGCCTGTTGTTTGTATTGTGGTCTCCAAGAGCTTTATTTGTCAGATAAATACGGTGTTTTATGCTTTATCACATATTACATTTACTGTTCTCCCAGCATTTTTTCCTTTTTAAAAAAAGTTAAGTAATCTAAGTATAATCTTAGCAAGACTAAGTAATCCAATGCAATTAAACTGTAATCTAGTACTATTAAAATACGATGTTAAAATACAAATAAATGGGATTTATTAATAAACACCACTCAGTAAGAAACTGTGTAAAATTCTATTAGCATTTACCCCCATGGTATTTATCATTTACATATTTGCTTAATTTTTATTTTTTTTTAAATGTGTAATAATTCAGTCAACCATCCATCTCTTGTCAGTAGCTGCTAATTGTACTAGGCATTGGTCAGAGTGTCTGAGGGCCACTGGTCTGTCTGAACAGGGAGGAAATCCTCGAAAGGGACAAGTGAGGTCATTTCCCACTGTGCCACCACCCCAGTTGATTAGGAACCCGATGTGATTTTAGGAAAAAGGCCAGGAAAAGACTCTGTGTGACAGGAGGCTCCAGCAGACTTAACTTTATCAGAAAAGCTGTGGCAGATTCATAAGGGGTTCTGATCCGATAACCTCCCTCATCTTTCCTGCTCCTGCCTTCCCAGTGGGCTTCTCATCTGGACATGGAGTGAATTTCAGCTCCAGTCCCCTCCAGCCCAGCACGTCTGAATTGCTGGCACTGTGAGAAATGCAGCATCCAAACCCATGCTGTGTGAAGCAAACAAGTGGCATCAGTCACAGGCTGATCAGAAACTGATAACATGACTAGTAGTGGGTCCTAATAGCTTGGGTTAATAGATGGGTTAGAAGCATCATATGTAATATTATCAGCAAGAAAATAGCATACAGTATATGATAAGAAAATGGCAAGAAAATTACTGTGGAAATAAGTAATAATAATATATTTATTTCATGCTGGTGGTAATAAGAGAAAGGGATTGTAAGAAGTACCTAGAAGGTGATGGAGTTGAGTAGTAATTCTTTTAAAGATGTTTCAGCTGTACTGGGGCTGATGAGGGATTCAGGCTCCAGGCCCCTCTGACCTCATTGGCCCAGCTGTCATCGGCATGACAACACAAGTGGACTATGGACCTGCCACATAAAAAAGCACGCCTTTCACTTTAAAAAAAAACCCAAAAAAAAACCGGCAGAGCCTGTCATTCGGGCAAAGAGTGTTTCCTCTTCATGGGCAACAGGAATTAATAATTGAGATGGCAGGGATTTCTTTCTTTGATTGAGCATTACAGGGAAAATGAGGCACTGCCACAGCATCACTGCTCCCACTGTGCGGCTCTGTGGAGGGATGCCAGCTGCCTGTGTAATTACTCCCAGAGTGTGATCTAATGGCTCCTCCCCCTGCCAAGGGCTGCAAACCCTTTGCATACACTATTGTACTTTTTAAGCACCAGAGGTCCTTTGTGGGATTGTAAAGCAAACTCATTTCATGCCCCTAACCATGAAATTGACATGTACGTTTCCTGTCCCGCCCAAGCAGCTTCTGAATGAATTGGTACCCACGATCTATTACTGTAAACCCAAGCTGATTGGATTTCGAATTCATACCTGTGCCGTTCCATCCACCTCGGGCTTTTAAGTCTTCTCAATAATTGCTGTTTATATGCAGACATTGAGAAACAATGAGGTTCATCAAACCACCTTTTCCAGCGTACCTAGATGAACCAGAACATAACCAGATGAAATCATGCTGTCCTTTTAAGATCCCTTCCTGGTATCCATGGTGATGATGTCATGCTGTCCTTTTAAGATCCCTTCCTCTTATCCATGGTGATGATGTCATGCTGTCCCTTTAAGATCCCTTCCTGGTATCCACGGTGATAATGTTATGCTGTCCATTTAAGATCCCTTTCTGGTATCCACGGTGATAATGTCATGCTGTCCATTTAAGATCCCTTTCTGGTATCCACGGTGATGATGTCATGCTGTCCTTTTAAGATCCCTTCCTGGTATCCACGGTGATGATGTGGGCATTTGGTTTCCATGCAACATTCGCTGTGACATGTGATACTCAGCCAAATTATACAAAATTGTTTCCCAGAAGTTGGCCCCAGAAATACTAGTAATGACCCATTGTTTCATCCTTGACAATTTTTTTATTCACTTAACAATTAATCTTATATTAAACATAACAACCAATTAGAGACCCTTGTTTTTTCTCCTGTTTTCTTGGTAGAATTTTACTTGGAATTAATTGTTAAAATAAAGTTTCCTGTCCTGCAGCATGCACAATGCAACTATTTACGCTTGTTTATGAGACAGAGATAAAATAAATAAATTTCATAAATAGCGTTGTGTTGAAATTTACAGTATATCTATTCAGGAAATAGGTTCCTGCTGAAGCATCATTGTGGGGCAGGGATGTACAAGACCTCCCAGAAAATTATTATGTGGGACTGACACTGGGTCAGTCTGGGTGGGGAGAGACACAAGCTCCCTGTTATTACCTACAGAACAGGTGACTATGAAGCAGGTGGACTGACCATAATATAATCATCTACATTCGCCACTGCAAGTCGATAACATGACAAAGCAGGGTTATCATAATCAGGAATGGTCAAACAAAGTCTGTAAAACACTGCAGTACTTTAAATCTCAGTGCTCAAACATGGATTGTAAATTGTAATTTTTTTTCATGATCGGAGTACATTGATGTAGACAGGCTTTATTGTGTAGTTAATTATTGATATACAGTATGAGAGATTAATTGCTGGCATGAGGTCAGCAGACAGATTAAGTAGTTAGCTTATGTCTTTCAAAGTGCTTTACTAGACTAGCATGGATCACTCTGAACCTGTAACCATTATCGACCATGAGAGAACTAAACACTATTGGGGTTCCATCAGCTTATTAAGCATGTCAGAGCTAAACACTGTTGGGGTTCCATCAGCTTATAAACCATGTGAGAACTAAATACTGTTGAGGTTCCATCAACTTATAAAGCATGTCAGAGCTAAACACTATTGGGATTACATCAGCTTATAAAGCATGTCAGAGCTAAACACTGGTGAGGTTCTATTAGCCTATAAAGCATGTGAGAACTAAATACTATTGGGGTTCCGTCAGCTTATAAAGCATGTCAGAGCTAAACACTATTGGGGTTCCGTCAGCTTATAAAGCATGTCAGAGCTAAACACTTTTGGGGTTCCATCAGCTTATAAAGCATGTCAGAGCTAAACACTATTGGGATTCCATCAGCTTATAAAGCATGTCAGAGCTAAACACTTTTGGGGTTCTATTAGCCTATAAAGCATGTCAGAGCTAAACACTATTGGGATNTTGGGATTCCATCAGCTTATAAAGCATGTCAGAGCTAAACACTTTTGGGGTTCTATTAGCCTATAAAGCATGTCAGAGCTAAACACTATTGGGATTCCATCAGCTTATAAAGCATGTGAGAACTAAATACTATTGGGGTTCCATCAGCTTATAAAGCATGTCAGAGCTAAACACTATTGGGGTTCCATCAGCTTATAAAGCATATCACAGCTAAACACTGTTGGGGTTCCATCAGCTTATAAACCATGTGAGAACTAAACACTGTTGGGNTATTGGGGTTCCATCAGCTTATAAAGCATATCACAGCTAAACACTGTTGGGGTTCCATCAGCTTATAAACCATGTGAGAACTAAACACTGTTGGGGTTCTATCACAGATATATAAGACATGGGCTACTTGTCCCTAACTTGCTGTACTCCTCCACAGAGCCGTAACGCTGGACAATCAACTCGTGGTACTGTCCACAACCACAACTGATGCTGGCCACTACCATGTCCAGGCCATCAACGAGAAGAACGGGGAGAACAAAACAAGTCCCTCCATGTTCCTGAACGTTGCAGGTAAACTGAGACCCCCCTGTTGTCTGAGAGATATCACAAGAGATGCGGCAGTTTTTGCCATTGTATGTCTGTCTCATTATGCGTCTCTCTAATTGCCAGTTCTCCTCTTTGTCTTTGGGTTATTATCATTCTCTGTCCTTTCTGTAAGTGTCCCCTGGAGGCCCTTCAAACACCAAGAAGAATAATAGACTTGAATATAAGATTAAAAATATATATAAAAATCATTCACTGGGGACCAATGTCTCAGACTGTCAAAATCTCATCTATAGTCAAATGACAATATTTCCCAGCAGTCATATTGGCAAGCATTGTGACATTATCATAATCCTACAAAACAACACACTGATGGAGGTAAGGGAGGCCACTTTCCGGAAGTCGTTTGACAAATGACCATGGTTCAAGTAATTTAATCTTTTCACCTGGATGTCAGAATTGAAATGTGTGTTTAATAACTAGATGAGGTTTTTTTTCTTCCTTTCATTCCTGTGACCTTTGCTAAGTAAGAAATGGCACCGATTGATTTTCCTGTCTTTTTCCAGCCCCTTCATTTTATTGAAGTATTGAGCAGTTGAGTTGGACACAATGTGCAATCAGGTTTATCTTAATGACTTTTGTACGAGGCTTTTTGGAGAGTGGTTACAGAATCTTGTCTGATCGTTTTCAGCAGCTTGTCGACAATTATCGCTTGACGACACTAACTCAGCATGTTGAAGGTAATTGGTACGCTCTACAAAAATGAGATTTTGGTTTGAACTGAGTTAAATCCTCATATTAAGTGATACATACCTTTCCAAATAATTTTGTCTGTAATTACAAAAAAGGGGGATTTTTTTCAAGCCAGGACAATGTTGGGAACTTTGTAACCTGCAGTGGCTGCTTGGTACAGCGGTTTCCTCCCTACTTAAAATCATTTTGAATGTACATCCCTTCCTTGATGATACTGGGCTGGTTACTACTGCTTTAAGACTTTCCCACTGTGACTTCAGTTCAGGCATAGAACCTTTCTGCATTCCTGCAGCAGGACAGCATAGAATTATTTTGAGGGGCAGGTGTTCAAAGGCACCAACTGGTGTTTGGGGCAGTTGTCAGGATCGGGATCGGGCGAGCCGGAAAGCAGGCGATCGGAGCCGTCAATACGGACAAACGGGGTTTTATTAGGAGCGGGAAGGCGGACAGGAACAAACATCCAAACACTACAATGACGGAACCGGGGACAACTGACTTAGACACGGACTACATACAAGACACAGGCTAAGGGTAACGAATCACAGGTAAGAAACAATCAGGGAATCACACGAGGTAACGAGGTGGGCGTGGCACACATCGGGAGCGGACGGAGCGGGGCGTGACAGCAGTGATGATGAAAGATAATAGTTACCAGTTTACGTTGGTAAAAAAAAAAATGGGGACACTAACACTCTCATGGGGAGGTACTTTTTAATTCAGACAACAGGGGCAGTTGCTCAGGCACCCCCAGTTGCCTCCCCCCCTCCCCCTCCAGTATGTGCATGTGATTTTAAAGGTCACAAGACGCCAGTGACGTTTTTTCTGGGAAGCTTGAGACGGTGCAGGATGTCTCACTTGTCCTGAGTTACTGACACCCTGACACTGCCCCACATTTGCCCTGTCAGCTGATAGCTGGGTGGTTCCACAGCATCCTTGCTTGCAGGTCAGAATGATGTTTTCTTGAAAGGCTGCAAGATGAGAGGTTATTTTTATAGTGTTTATTTTTAAACACTTTAAACTTTTCCTTCACATAATCCTGTAGCTCTCCTTCAGGTCAGATTTATATAGCTGAAACATGTTTATTGTGAAGAAAAAAATAAGTTTTTAAATCAACACTGAACACACATATTTACCAAACCCTACCTTCTTAGCCTTTCTAAAATACATCTGGCTTTTCTGTTTAATCCTCTTTATTAGTGTTAATTTCACATATACTGTAAGGTGAGCACTTCCTGGCCAGATCTCCCAGGCAATGTGCACGGCTTCGAGAGACACATCCATTTCACACTGCTGCCATGCAAGTGTGGAGACTCAGCCTGGCTCTTCCCTGTCTCCTGCTCTAGTAATCAATTTCATTTTTGACGAGCAGGGGCCACGCTCCAATGCTGATAACTCCATTGTGTCTGTCCTTGTGACTGGCCTGGTGTGGTCATTGCCTATCCAGTATGACAGTCTGCATCTGCTGATTCAGGCCATTAGCTTAGATTGGACCCAGAGCCTAACAGACCTTGGCGTTGAGTCTTGGTTAACACTCAGCAAAGTTTGAAGTATTTGAAAGCAAATGTCATTTGACTAACTTGCTCCATCATTATTTGTTGTCGCTAATGGTCTTATTAGCAGGCAGCTGGGCATGCCGTTCCCTCTCATTACTCTCTGCTGACGTCTGTGTCCACCCCACTATGCCACCACACACTCCTTTGATAAGCTGCATCTTTGATAAGTGGGCTACATTGTTCTCACACTTGTGAGGAACAATGGCCCTCTGTCTAAGCCCAAAGTCAGCCGGGTGGCGCCCAGAGCACAGCTTAGGATAAGTGCAAACTCAGATCTTGAAGCCATCTTAGACAGCATGCAAACATATCAAAGCCGTTCCTCTTTTTGCCTAGAAGTTCCTCTTCTCGATCAGTTTGAACCATCTCTGAGCCACATGTTCTTGTCCTGAGGTCACAGATGACGTTTAATCTTCACCAGAGAAGGAAAGGGCCCAAGCCAGTGCGCAAACTGTTCATAAGATGGGAGCAGGTTGGGTGTGAATAGAGGGAGAAAGAGGACATGTGTATCCATGGGAACAGGAAGGAGGATAAGCCAGTGAAGGGACGATCCTTACCTGTTAAGAAAGGAGCTGGCTGAGTGTGACAGAGATTAGGGAGTCTCCCTGTGAGGCATCTCTCTAAGGGGTCACCCAAAACCTTTCAGCATTTACTTTAGATATCTTCATGAATGCCCTGGTAGGATTGCAGCCCTCTACTGGGTATACACATAGATCATTGCGGGATTGATTTTGTATCAGGACCTGAAAGGAGATGCTTGGCAGCAGATGCTAGGATGAGAGGAACCTGGGAGAATCAAAAAAAAAAAAAAAAAACAGAGCTGCACCTAAGTGCAATTATGTGGCTTAGTCTAGACCTGCTGGAGATAATGAGTTTGAGTAAAGTGACACAAAAGACCACAGCTGTACGCTGACAGCAGAACAGCTGATGTAAAGCTGTAAGAGAGCTTATGTAAAGAGAGTTAGGAATGGTAAGCCAATTGCTCTCCTAAAATGGGCTTATAATTAATCCCTCGTCCCTCATTGGATGAAACTGTTGAATATCCATGTGGTTGGGATGACTGGTAGATTTTTTCTGTTTCAGAACCTCTGTGGCACAGACCCCAAATTATTACTGTCACATATGTAATTTGTCAACAATCCTTAATATCTGTAGATTTCAGAGCGCACTGTCATTTCATATCAGGTTTGCAATCTAACACATCACACCATAGAGACAGAGACAATATGAGACATGTCTTGCCTGCCTGGTGCCCAGGTAGGAGACCTTCCAGATCGTGTGGACAAGCTTTTGGCCCCAGCTGGGGTGGATCCAGTTGTCGTGGTGCATGTTGGCACCAACGACATAGGCAAGGGTAGGAGGGATGTTCTGCAGGATAAATTTATAGAAGTCGCCAATAAGCTTAGAAATACTCCCCGTGCCACGCGCAAGTCAGGCTAGGTTAGTTGAGATAAGGAGATTAAATGTGTGGCTAAAAGGATGGTGTAAGAAAGAGGGGTTTACTGTAGGTTTATGGGGCACTGGAGGACCTTCTGGAACAGGTGGGACCTGTTCAAGCCGGATGGGTTGCATCTAAACCAGAGGGGAACCAGTGTACTGGGAAGGCGTATTTGTAGAGTAGTTGAGGAATGTTTAAACTATTATAAGTGGGCACCGTAATA